GCAGTATGTTGGCTGTGGGTTTCTTGTAGATGGCTCTTACTGTTTTGAGGTATGTTCCATCTATGCCTAGATGTTTGAGGGTTTTTATCAAGAAATGGTGCTGGATTTTATCAAAAGCTTATTCTGTGTCTAATGATATAATCATGTGGTTTTTGTCTTTACACCTGTTGATGTATTTAGCTACATTTATAGTCTTGTGGTTGTTGAACCAGTCCTGCATTCTGGGGGGTGAAGCCTACTTGGTCATGGTAGATGATTTTTGAGATGTGTTGCTGGATCCAGTTTGCTAGAATCTTGTTGACAATTTTAGCATCTATGTTCATCAAGAATATTGGCCTGTAGTTCTCTTTCTTTGTTGGATCTTTACCTGGTTTGGGCAATGTGATGTTAGCTTCATAAAATGATTTGGGGAGAGTTCCATCTTTCTTGATTGCCTGGAATACTTTCAATAGGATTGGTATTAGCTCTTCCTTGTATGTTTTGTAGAATTCTGCTGGAAAGCCATCTAGTCCTAGGGTTTTTTTCTTTTTTTTGTAGATAGTTTTCTTGTGACATAGTTGATTTCCTGGGCTGTTATTGGTCTATTTAGGGTCTCGATTTCTTCCGGGGCACTTTTTTATTCACTAATGTTTCCCTAGTGCCTAGTAGACTAGTGGTGCTCAACATTTGGTAAAATTATTTTATCCTAAAAAATAATGGGAACTCATTGTTATGCAGAGTGAAATAATTATATCTTTCTCATTTTTGTCACCCATAAAATGGGAATAATGGTCATTGTGGAGAACATTCAATGATGCATCAGGAGTTTTGGCCGGACGTGGTGGCTCACACCTGTAATCACAGCACTTTGAGAGGCCGAGACGGGAGATTCACCTCAGCCCAGGAGTTCACGACCAACCTGCGCAACATAGTGAGACCTCCTCTCTACCAAAAAAAAAAAAAAAAAAAAAAAATCACAAAACTAGACTAACAGGGCTTGTGGCGGGCACTTGTAGTCCCAGCTACTCGGAGACTGAGGTGGGAGGATCACCCGGACCGAGGAGGTGGAAGCTGCGGTCAGCCGTGATCGTGCCACTGCACTCCAACCTGGGCAACAAAGTGAGACCCAGACTCAAAAAAAAAAAAAAAAAAAGTTTAGACAGCGCTCATCAGGGTTATTGGTGAAATGGCATCGCGGCTCTTCCCAGAACTCAGGGTAGTTTTAGGGTTGTTTTGAATGTCTGTCTAGTGTGCGTGGTGGGCGGGGAAGTGTGTGTTTGCTGAGTGGATGACGCAACCGCCGACCTGGGCGGCCGAGGACGGGTTGGGCTACTTTCCTTCCCGGAACTGCGCGAGGGAGAAATCCGAGCCACGGCGGACGCCGCGGCGCCTCCGCCCCGCCCGGTCCCGCCCCGCCCTCCCCTCACGACGCTCTCACTGCGCTCTGAGTCCCGCCTCCTCGCGCCTGCCC